ATCTTTTCTCAATAACAGTACAGTTTCTCACACGTTATTCTGGGAAACAATAATCTACATTCTTTATACGTTTTTATTCTGATTAGAATCCCAAGTCCACTCGTTTCTTCGTGCATCGCTCTGGTGCTATGTTGTTCATCCGTAATTTCTTTTTAGTCAAATATAAATACATAACTGAAGCATTGAGAGCTACAAGCATAATGATGCTGAAATATTTGCAAAACTTGGATCCCAGGCCAGACTTAAACCCAGGGCTACCTTCTCGGAATCTTGTCCTGTTACCCACTATACCATCGAAACCCTTGTTTTGCATTTCGAACAACAATCATGGACCATCGACTCGGATCATCGGCTCTGAGGAAGACGAAGACGTCGAAACGTTAGCCGAAAATAAATATATTTATCAACCTCGTGCAAGCTTATCAAGAAAGAATGCACATGTTACTGAAACGTTTGGCCGCAGCAGATTGCATATCAGTATACCCTTCCAGGCTCTGAAGAAGGCGATACTGCCGAAACGTCAGCTAGCGTTGTATTGTATTGTGTTGTTCCATGGAAGTAAATGTATGCTGTTTAACAACCTCGCGATTGCTGAACAAGAAATGACGCGTTCATAAGTCTATAGTGCTCATTCATCAGCGCAATACTTTGAGGATCCACTGAATTCCAATGCGGTAAAATAGGAAGTAGTTGTTAGTATGAGTATGCGTATGTCGTCTTTGGGTTTGTCGTGGTTCCCCTTCTCTTATAATGGTGGCAGAATCAGTACGCATACGAGGACGCTGGCAGAGCGTTTGAAATTTGTTGAAATTGTTTGTCTTCGCGTATAAAGGATGGTCCTTTAGAGCCTCGCACACGTGGAGGTTTTAAACTACAATCTAATCTATTTGGTAGGTCATTTATATTTGTAACCAGCTTCGTTAAGTACACGTTTCGATACGACGACATTTTTGTAGCACAAATTTTGAATTCAGATACGTTTCGCTCACTTTTCCTTTACAACAGCGTGGCACTAACTGGAGTCTATCATCTGGTTCACTTTCGACAACAAATCGATAGCCATGCTTTGTGAATAACATTAGCTTCCTGTTGCTAAGGCGAATTCCCACTGCTTGGATATATATCGTGGACTATGCGTGCTATTTTCGTAGCAGACCAATTTCTCATGTACATTCTACTCTAGACAGACCTATTGATGTGGCACTAACACTAGAGAGAGATTCATGGCAGCGGAATCATGGGGATATGCCATTGCCAGTAAAATGAGGCGCGTCCAACGAGATCGTAATTTGCACTATCGCGTCGAGTTGAGTTATAGTCGCTCTTGAATTAACCGGAGCCAGGAATTTTTTTCAACTCGAATGTGCTTGAATGGTTCCACGATCTATCTCTATGACCAAAGGGTTAGAAAAGTCTGTCATTACCATCTCTCCGCATAAGAAGAACTATGCTCAAATAGCTTTCAGAAGGAGGGCAATTGCTCAAATTGCAGCCGAAGTCATCCATAAATCTTACCAACTCTATTGACCGCAACTGAAAGGAAACGAAATGACTGAGGAGGATGTCGAAACCTCTGCACCATGTAAGGCAACCTGCGCAAATGAGCAGCAAATATGCGTTTCTTCATTTATTCGTGTTACCTTGGAAGTTGGCCTGTTGGAAGTTTGTCCCTGCGTTATTGTTTGTATTTAATCCTATGCCCCGCCTCACTTTGTTTATTTCATTTGCCATTGTTAGTCGTTTATTTATTTTCGCACTGTTTTCTCTATCATCTAGTATTTATTCCAATAAACTATACAACTATTAAAGTATTAGTTTATTTTCTTCACCTTTGCTATGCACAGGTTATGTTTTTGCGAGAGAGAAATCGGGAATGATCTTTAAAGTAAAAACCACACGGATTAAACTAATTGGGTAACTGAACGTATACTGACCTAATTGAGTGCAATTTCTCTAATTAATGGTGGTGTTGATTAGATGTATCATTTGGGTTAAATGTGAAAGTGTAGTGACTATGGTAAAACAGGACATGGATCTTATAATAGAGAACACGATAAAACACCCAATTGGATTCTACTAGTTTTAAAGCCTATCAAATTCCTTCAACTGAGACGAATTAGTGTCTCGCTCATTATATACGAAGCTGACGAAAGCGTGAATTTGCTCTAAAGGATCATCAGGACATTCCATTATGGATCCTGTTTTCAACACTGCCCACTGGTCTCTTGAAGAACTCCATTTGTTTGACGTATAATCCTCCATTATTTTCGTTGTGCTCTGCAATGACTGCTCATCCACTACGTTTCTGTGGCTTCTCAGGAACTTCTGAGACTCGAAATCCGATACCTCACTTTCTTAGAGGGAATATGGGAACAGGTCTTGTCTTTTTCATGGGTACCTTGTTGTGAATATACCGTTCAAAATCAAGTGCGTTTTATTTTGTTTCGCTTTCTCCCTCAGGAAAGACGCACGCTTCATTTGGACTCTGTACTGAATTTGTTTCTTTCTTACTTCGAATGTGTAAAACATCTTGTCGTAGTGCCCAATTTCCTAACAAGTTTAGGTATCAAATGAGATGTCAGACTCTGTTTTTGCTGCTTCCAGCAGAGGTTTCTTGTGGCCGACATGACCACGGGAGTTCCTCGATTTCACGTTCGTTATTTTGAAGTATTCGTATTGTTTTTGTTATGCCTATTATTGTTATGTTCGTTTATGATAGAGGCAGATTAAATGTCAACCCCTTTGTCTGCGTCTTGCTGGATTGAAATATACATTCTGTCTGTATATCAATACATTCAATATGTTGGTTTTCGTGTATATACGAATAGTACCCCACACGTAAATTCGGCCAAAATGCTGCAATAAACCAATCAAATGAATGGCAACTATAAGAGAGGTGGTTCGGAATCATCTTCAACAAATAGGATTCATGTCTGGTGCGGCCAAACAGTTTACTCGTGATCACGGCTATCCCCACATAAGAACTTGGAAAACAACTCATCGGTATCCATAACTCCGTAGCTACGACCAAAAAAATTAGGGCTTAATTTTCCTCACTCTTGAAGCCACTGTAAAAGAGAAAGAGTTGGCAAATGCGAAAAAATTTTAGCGACTATTCCGCTCTGACTAAATTTGTGTTGACCACAGTGATTGGTTTTCGTAACATAACGCGTCGATATCCACGATGTTACCGGACCGGCTGCTCAGGAATCTGGTGCTCAGGAAAAAATGAAGGAGCATATTTCCTCGCAAGTAATGGCGGTAACGAGTCTGTGGAGTTCGTGTCATCAGCAACAGTGCTCGACCATGAACATCGATTCCATTGTGCATTTAGTTCCAAGAAACCCATGTGCAACTTGGATATCTAAATTAATAAGGTTGTTTTTTTGTGATGTTTCTGTTATTATTGGACAATTGGATTTTTTCCTTGATAATAGCACATCTATTTAAACAATTGAAGGAGCAATTAGTAGCTATAGCTGTTGTTGTTGCTCTTAAACAGAAGCTCGTCCAAAAAAATAGCATAGTTTGCTTTCGCATTCTTTTCTTTGGGTCCTTCTTAGGAATCGTTCTGGAAAACGCTCTGTATATTTTTATCGTTAAGTTTTTCCTAGAACTCTATCTGAGAAACTCTCAAGAGTACAATGTTGGACATCGAGCCTGAAAGTCTAGACAGCTATGTTGTCAGTTTCATCGCAGACGTCTTGATGACCTGCATTCCTTAAAATAGTAATAGCAGCAGCTTTGTTCTGTAAACATTATGAATTAATTTTTTTATCTTTATCTTACACCATTATGCTCCTTACTTTCCTACATATCCTACCTTTTTTGGTTTTCCATTTCCCATCGTCTCCCACCTTATCGTTTCCACAGTAGCCAGACACATTTATATAATTTCTCCATTTACCTTACTCTGCATTGCTCTTTTTTCACTTTCCCTAACTACATTGTCCATTTCGTTATCACCCCACTTCTATTACTCTCACGCCGTATATTCCTCATTTCTATTCTATCATATCCTACATCGTAACTGACATGGTTGCACTGATATCCTACCTCGCATCTATGCCAGTTACGACGTAATAGAGTAAGAGTAGAGTAAATCCGTACTGACATGACATATTATTCATGAACTTGTTTTTATATGTACTGAAAGTCTAAGCCTTCAAGACCAATCCATTGCTAGTTTTTCCATAACTGCAAGTGAATTTTCGATAATAGAGCATTTGGAGGACTTAAGAATTTAGCAGAGTTCCAAAAAGAGCTTGTCCTGTGTAGGAACAACCGTTTTTTAAGCGTTCTTTCAGTTTATAATTTGTTTAGAACTCAACTATGCTGGGAATTGAAAAGCGAGTTTATACTTTCAATTTTTATAAGAAAAAGTACTGCCGCTGAAAATGTGAAGGATGCTGTAGGGACGCAAGAGGGACACAAGAGTGATCTTAACACTAAGTCTCAACTGTTCCATCGCTTCGATATCCGAAGTGAAAGGGAAAGAGAACTCGAGAAAAAAGGAAAAAAACCTGAGCAAGAAGTCCAAATTTTTTGCCTTCAAAACATAAAAATTATGTTTTGCTGGCGGTTTATTTAGATACATAGATTCAACACAAATAAGGTAAATATGGTAAAAATATAAGTAAGATCTCTCAAATGGGCGAGGTTCGTAAGGTAAAAGAGCATACGTGAAAAATGCCTTTAAAAATTTGAATCATTTCAACTTTCCTTGAGCATTCCGATACTTTTTTCCTAATTTTTTGAAGTAAAATTCGAAAAGGAAATTTTGTGTAGGTGGTCAGAAAACATCTAACATCTAGTATAAAATTCTTTAAGAATAAACTCAAGTCGTGGCTTCGAAGTGTTCGACTTCTTTCTAGCATTAAATCACGAGCTAAATATTCGGTTTTTTTGCCACTTTTTTAAGTACAGGTTAAAAGTTCTCGTCATCTCGTCCTTTTCAACACCTTGCTTTGGAATTGACTATTCGTTCTCAACATTTTCAGATGAACAGCACGACTCAACAGCACGTGCAGCAATGGCAGCACCAGGTGATCGCCTTCATTAACACGTTCGTGCTATTCTGTCAGATCCTGTTCGGATGCACCGGCAATGTGCTGAATCTGATCGTCCTGCTATCGCAAAATATGCGGTCAAGGACCAATCTCGTGGGTGAAATTTCAGCTCCCAGAGTGCACTCAGTCACTGGAGTGGTAGCATAGTGGCAACAACGCAAGCGCTCATTGTAATAGTGGCGGGCTGCGTTGATGATGGCTTGTAGGAGGAAATGAAGTTATTCAATGATTTCGTTCAGATATTTGCTGTAATGGCGTTCGCAGACCTCTTCTTTCTTCTTATGCATATTCCTCAGTTTCTATTCTTTTGTGTGAGTCCCGCGGTTTTCCAATTAGTAATAGTAATAATAGTAACATAATTCAAAAAATAAAGCACTTCTCCTCCAGAATGTGCTGCACAAAAGTCAGTACTTCCGCCACTCAACGCATATCATCAGTGGGATTCAGAACTGGTTCAGTGCGATCTCTATATGGTAGGTAGAAATTACTTTTTTCCTAATTATGCTGCTTCTGTAATTTTGTTTACTGCCTAATGTTTTTCATGGTAGGGTATGATGCGAAACATCGCGTCGCAAATAACTGAGGCCACTCAAGTGTAAGCCGAGTGGCTGATTCATGTTTAAAAACTGTGTAGTTAGAACATGTCGTTTAGTAGATTTCTGACAATGTGTCATTCCTAGGTCTTCGTGCTCTTCGTTGCCCATTACTGACCGCGAGAAATTTCCTCATGACAGTTATCACTGTCATATATCAGACACGCTGTAGATTATAGAGGAGGCGATATTTACTGAAGCCATGTCATTCAGTTTATCCAGTGTTCTGTCGTTATGTTCTTTTTAAACAGGTCCATGATGTACGCAACGATCGAACGTGTGCAAGTGTTCCGTTGCCCATTCCGCACTTCACGTCGCTCTGTATCGTCACGATTTCTCGCTACAATTGCGCTTATGGTCCTCGGCGCTCTTGCAGTCACCGCACCTAATTTCATGCTACCGTCCAATACTTTTCCACACCATATCGTCAGGTTGTTATTGGTACGTTCCTTTAATAATTTCAGAAAAAAATCGTAAAAAACTTTCTAACATTTGAAACTACTTAGTCATCGCGCAGTTTCTTACGTCATAGCTTAGATATATGGTAGCCGTAAAGCGTAAACGTCGCATTTCCACCCACACGATTTGCTAGCTACACACTTAAATGACGCATACACGCGTGTCTTCACGTCACCTTTAGGAACTATAAACCTGTCCATGCCGTTTAGCTGTTGCCCACTCTGTGGAAAATACAGAACTTGCCACAGCAACTGGAAGAAAACACCGAACTTCCTTGCTGAAGAACAGAAAGAATTCAATAGGTTGCCTGAAAAACTTAAAATTACACGGAATTAAAAAAGTTTTATCTCCAAATAAAAAAGAATTTACAGTTAAGACCGCTCACGGTGCTTGAGAAAATTTTCAGCTGGTTTGTCCAGTACATCAAACTGCTAGTTCAAAAACATGTCTGGTTACCATCAAAAGCAGGGAAGGAAAGATCGAAATCATAGCTCAAATTTATTCAGATGAGACTGTTAAGAGGAAAGAACTGCCTCTTAACAGACTGAGGAACTCCAGTACCTCAAACATGGTCCTTCAATGGCATGCAGTAAGTGCCATATAGCGAAAACGGCCACCGAGCATCTGGAGTCGAACTTTTGTTTGTAGTTTATTGGCGATTAGTCGTCTCTAAAAGTTCGAAATTAGCTGTTCAAAACTTTCCTATTCGGAGAATCTCGGTGAAGAATGTAGGAAGAAAAAAGTCGCCGACATAAGCATCTTCATCGCAAACTCACTAAATTGGTCAGAAATTCATGACAGTTTCCTACAACGCGTTATTATATCCCTCGAAACCGTAGGCTTTTCATAACTAGGAGGAACCACTCCAAATAGGTTACGTAGATTTTATCTTATACTGTGTTAATGGTAAAGTAAAGTGCTAAAGCTTGATAAATAATCTGTGAGAGCAAAAACTAGAGTACCGCGCGATACTCGTAATTTCCGAATGCACTACACGAACCCACTTAAGAGGCAGATTTCGTTCAACATTTTTAATATTTTTATTTCTATACCAGTTCATGTTACGATGAGGTTTGTAGAATAAGATTTAAAAAACTCTAACAAGTGTTCTTCATTATTGATTTCGCTCCATACCTAAATTTTAAGATAGCATTTTCATTATCAGTCGCTTTTTTGCTCCAGTTATGAGCAGGAGGAAACGCACCTATTTGTTAGAATTTAACTGTCTGAATGAATACATTTTTGGTAGAATCGAGAAATCTGTCTCCTTCACTGGCCCATGGGATGCTTTTAACTCTTCTGCGCCTTAGAGTGTAATGGAAGTGACTTACATTGCCGAAATCTCACCGTACTATTTCGGTTATTTTCCTCTTTATGTGTGATATATGGAAGTAGATTGCGAAACTCAATAAATAGCATATTTTCACTATTTATCTTAGCGATTCTTAGAATGCGATAGTTCAGGTCCTTCATGCAGTTAGTGTTGTTCTCGTCCCACTGGTGGTTTGTGCTTTGCTCAACATTCTTCTCGTTTTGGCATTGAAAAAGAATACGATGCCTATACAGATGCTCGAAAACTTACAGGCACAACAAAAAATTCTTATGGCTAGGAATAAAGCGGAACAAAAGGTTAGTGGATCATCGAATTGACTAGATACCTAAATAGCTAGTTATCAAGACGTGAGTTACCCAGCGCTTCTTCCATTACTTTGTAACCGTCTTCCATGGAGATGCTTCTGTTTCTGGATGGGTTTAGACTGTGGTTTGGGAATTTGTTGTCCTCTTGATTTGTTGACTTTTCTTAAGCTGGTCTCGGTAGGTTCTCCTTGGAACTCTCAAGTCATCACAGCCAATCGCCGACGGAGTTAGATAGGGAAGTTTGGTAGTTGGGACTAAAATTTTCTGACGGCGGCGGAGAGCATCACAGTTTGTGACTGATTATTTGAAAACGACACGGTAGACCAAATATTCTATGTAGCCCAATTTTTAAAACTTCATACACTGTTCTCAGCATTTTTTGGAATTGGACGCGTCGGTTAACGTGTCTTATCAACGAGAATGATTATGAAAATATACCGCATCTTTCACTATAATCGTGGCCCTTATCGTGTCCTTCACTGTATCCTTGGCTGTCGCCATTTCCGAAGCATTCGGCAGCACAAATAATTTTCAAAGAGCACCGCCGGGTGAGCATGTCTCATTCGTGTGGTGTTCACTGAAGAAGATCCCGTCTCGGTACGACAACAAAGACGCCACGAACAGTGGACCGCGAAACCGACCATCGGCTCTGATGAGAGTGAAGACGTCGAAACGTTAGGCGAAATAAGAATAATCATCAACCTCATGTAAGCGCAACAATTTAAAAGAAAAACGTGGAATACAAATAATAGTGCATGTGGATACATTAGTGCAATAATTTTGCCGGAGATTTGTGAAAAAAACGGAAGCATGATGGAAAAATCTTCTTTTCGAGTCGAGTAAACGGTTTTTTTCACATTCTTTTGTAAGAGCACTAGTTTTGCCTTAATAAATTCTTCGTACCTTTACAGGTAACCATTATGGTGACAGTGATTATTACCAGCTTTGTCATCTGCAACGCTCCTGGTGCAATTTTATATGTGGCTCATCAAAACCACATCACTTTTAGAAAGGTAAGTACGGTTACTTATGCGTATAATTCTTGTTACTTACCGTGCATGAATTGGGCACACAAAATCAGATGTTACGTAGAGCTTGATTCAGCAGAGGCAAAGATATAGGCTATCGTTTTGAAAGAAATTCTGTGAGGTTCTTGATTAAGCAGTTGTTATACGCTGTACCTTCCTTGTTTCACTTTGGGACAGAGTAGTTTTCGGACTCAGTAACGTTTTCCATTTATTGTTTTCTCCACTAATGCTTCGGCTCGAAAAATTTTTAGAGATTTTTTGAAGAAGAAAGCGAAAAAATACCATTGTTTCAGAGTCTCACAAATGTTATGATTGCTTCTATCTCGAATACGCTGGTAATAACAGGAAAGGTAATTATTTCATCAAGTTCCCATCACTACAAAAAAGAAGTTGCACAAAGAACAGCTACTGTAGCAGCGATAATAATTGTTCAGATCTATTTTCATTAGCTCAAACGAATCATTAGCCCTATAAATTAAATAATGGAGTGGATAGTCGGAATGAATTGACAGACTGATTAATTTCTCATTTTCCTGACATAATAACCATTCGTAGAACATAAACTGGAGTATTACAGTCAATTACTTTTAGTTATAAAGACAGACAGAATATGAAGCTGAGAGACAGGCGAAACGAAGGACCCGCATGGTGTGGTGGTGAACGCGATAGCCCCAAGAAAGGGTAATAGAGCGCTTGTTTCCCACCGAAGATGCCCGCGATCCAGAATTTTGCAAATATCTAAGCATCGTTATGATGGTAAAAACAGAATTCTGATTAATCTTGGCTTTAATAAAAAAGGTTAATGAAGATTTTACTGTTATGAATTGTCTTTGATGAGCTGATATGAGATTGACAACACATGTTCTTGCTTTCCGATTGCTGATATCTTACCAATTTCCTTCCTTTCGGAGCCGCTTTTCTAAAGAATGAGGCCACCTTTATGCTACAGAGCCATGGCTAGCTTGCGTTAGCCCTTATTTAAAATCTTGGTGATAGGTAAAATTAATGGTTAATGACTGGTGGCGATCATCAGATTTACTATTTGCACGCATAGTGCTGACCATCAACATCACTTCAATAAAAACTAGACCATTAACAGTGGAAATATTCCAAAATCGAATGTTTTCCATAAAGAAAATGCCTTTGCTTGAGTGTGACACTGATGGATAGTTCCGATCTACTTCAGGTTCTAAACTTTGTTCTTTTCTGTATGTCGTCCGATCACTTCCGTGCGCTTCTTCGCATGAGACTGAGATCCGTCGTTGAGTGTACTAATATCACCAGACACAGCAGCTATCAATCAGCGACTAAAACCTATAGTATTCCTCTACAAGACATGTAGTATTTCGAGGCCAAGCTGGTTACGTTCAGAACAGGAGCTGTGCTAGCATCAAGACAATCCACTGCTCGTGGTTGATCGATCAGTAGTGCAGACAACCAGCTGCAGCAATTCGGTGTGACCTGCAACTGATTGTCTACCTATGCCGATCACATACTGTGCTCGTGAAGAATGTGTTGTATGACCAAGTCCTTTCGATGAATGATTCCGACTTCGTTTCTTGTTTTTGTTTTATTTTTGAGTAAAACATGTACTTGTCCTCGTTTCTCGATATCATGATTATCAGATCTTTCCTATGATCTCCAGATAACAAATCAACACTAGAATTCTTATTGTTATTTATCTCATGTTGACAATAAAGTTTCCAATGCAATTATGCTCCAACGGCGAAGTTCATATTTACGGATACGAGGTGTCAGTGAAGAATCTTTGTCGTGGCAGTAACCGTGCTCAACAATTTATCCCTGACTACTAGTTATTTGGCAATTACTGTTCACTATTATTTCAAACGAATGTGTCACAAACCAACCATTTTGTGTAATAATAGAAATTTTCGGTAGTATAATATTTTAATAAAGAAGTGGACATGTGTTCTTACAACACCAGTTCTTTACATTTATACTGCAAAGTACAGGAAATCTTTAATACAATGTAGAAGAAGCTGGACACTCTGCAAAAGAAAGAGAACGAAACTAGTTGCAGTCCAATTTCCTCTTCACACCACACCAAGGAAATAATAAATATTAAAGCTGTAGTTAGTTTTTGATCTTTCAAATTGAAAATACCATGATCATTAAGAATGAATGTGATTGGTGCGCAGTGAATGCCAGCAGTATCGCTATCGACCATTGAAATGAACAGCAACTGAGTTCAGGCCTGCTATGCAACCTAAAATAACACCATAACCTGGGAAACGTCTAACGTTCCGATCAGCTGTACAAAAACATGAAATATTTTCTCTAATTACCTCAATGCTTAAGCGCTTCTCCAGGTGGCGGTTAGAGGATTTAGTACGATGGACCACATCCACACCGTAACAAGACTCATTGAAGTATCACAAGAGTACAAAAGGCCGCTCTCTCTTACCTTCATCGATTTAAAGATGGTATTAGGTTCAGTTGAGATAGAAGCAGTCATGGAAGCCCTTGATAGTCACGAAATCCCTACTCAGTACATAAAGAGTCTTCGTAAGTCGTACAAAAATTTCTCAACGAAGACATCACCATTCTACAACGATATTAACATCGATGTCAGAAGAGAAGCTAGATGAGGCGATACCATCTCGCCAAAATCATTCACCGCCACCCTCGAGAACGTCATGGGAACATTAGAATGTGAGAACATGGGAGTGAAAATCGATGGCCTGCAATTACATCATCTTCGCTTCGCATGACATCGTCCTGATAGCACCGACATTAGGCAAGTGCAACGAATGCTTGCCGACTCTGATAAAGTTTGTGGAAAGACTGGTCTTCGACTAAATCTCATGAAAACGATGTCCATGAGAAACGGATTGGTTTCGTATACGCCATTCACGCTCAAAGGAACGAATGTCTCCGAATGCTCCAGTTATGTTCATCTAGGTCGGAAAATCAACATTATAAACGAATTAGCTCCAGAGTTGGGCAGAAAGAAACGAGCGTCTTGGAAAGCTTTTATGAGCATCGAGGATGTAGTGAAGAGAACAACGAATACACTACTCCGTGCCCACCTTTTCAACTCAACGGTACTTCCTGCCCTAAAGTATGCGTCAGATACATGGTTGCTGAGTAAAAAAGACGAAAATAAATAGACAGCTTTAACGGTCGAGTAGAACAAATAATAATAGACACGCAGTCGACAAGACGATGCTAGGAGTATCCCGTTTCACACAAGTAAGGGAAGGAATCCGAAGCCCTGACCTGCGTCAACGATCAAAAATCAGAGATGCCGTTCTGTAGGCCAAACAGTCGAGGGTGGGCTGGACACGTAATGCGTATGAATGACAACAGATGGACAAGAGCCGTTAGTGACTGGATTTCTCGGGATGTCAAACGTACTGCAAGAAGACCACCGACCCGATGAGCAAAGCTCTTCACGAAGAACCTAGAAGAAAGGTATGATGATCGACGATTCTTTAGAGCGAGCAGAACCCATTGGACTACTCTCGCACTTAACAGCGAAAAATAGACGAATTATTGGCACCCGCTCGAGTCACTAAACGATCAACGGGACTACAGGTGATGCAGGTAATACTCCTATTGATCCATTTAAATCTTTAAAAAAACTTTAAAAGATTGCTTTAGTTTGAAATATAACAGAAGTAAATTACCTCAAATACACAATACCTTCTTAATCTGTGGTAAATTGTGTTTTCATCGGTGCATTCTTGGTTCGTTTCCTCAGCTTTAGAAACAGCTCTCGCTTCTTCTCTTCGCTAAGGTTGCTTCCACGAATACCGCCTTCCTTTGCGTCTTTTGTGCCCTTCTAAAATAGTTTGGCTTCATTAACCGTAATGATTATTGTCTGATGCTTCTGCTATTATCATTATCATTACCCTCTTTTACAACAGCTATTTATATTGATTTGTGTAGCAGTTGCTGGTGGAAATTAGGTCTTCGAGTCAGTTCTCGCCACCTTATAATCACTAGTTTTAAGTAGGATGCTCGACTTCGTACAAGTTGCCGCGCGGGACCTTTTCGTGCTTGTCGTAGAGCAATTTTCGAACTTGGGTAATTAAACCGTTTATGACAGTAATAGTTTAAGATTAACGAAATATAAACATTGGTACAATGCAGACTACAATATTGTATCATGATCAATAGATCAGGGCAAGGCGGGTAGTATCTTTGCTATAGGCCAGTAAAACAGTGCCATATGCATTTAGAATACCTCAAGTGTGTCACAAGATCCAAACGCATTAAGGGATTTATATAAGGTCGTAATACCTGACTCACAAACAAAAGTACTAAAGGGCTACACACTATATGTAGGCTTGTGATGTGATTAACACCTTAAGAGCGACATGTAAGTTTGCTGTAACATTGCGATGAGGTGATGTGTTAACTTGTAGGTACATTGCGATTAGGTTAACGTATTAAAGAATACATGTAAGCGTATGAGTGCACTGCGATAAGATTAATGTGAGCACACAATAGAGTTAGCGCGTTCAGAGGTACATGACAAGGTTAATATGCAACAGTGACCACGTACAACAGGACAGAACACCTTGGAATAAATTTACAAGGCGCAATTGAATAACTTCCACGATTTTGGTAAAATCGGACGCGTGGTGCACATAGATAACATTTTCCACAAACATCAAATGTTGTCCACGACTTCATAAACTTTCCGCTTGCTGTCTCTACATTGCTTCATAGCATTTATCTTATGCACTTAATTCGCAGCTGACTAGAGAAATCACTGTAGCATCTTCCTGTTTTTGTATCTGCACACGTTAAAATGCAACAGTTAGAAGACGCTCTGCAGTTCCTTTGTGTGTTAACATCTGTATGATAGAAAATAGATGTGAGGAATTACGTCCATCTGAATAACGTTTGCCTTCACTTCGGCGTCTAAGTATACTAAATAGTTATCTCATTCCTTCTTGCGCCACTGCTTCCTCTTGAATCTTTTAAACTCATTTGTGTTTTGCCCGGCGTTCGTTACTCACATTACTTCACCAGCCTATTCCAGAAGACACCCTCTTATTTTCAGTATAGATTCATGCTAATTAGCTTACCTTTGCTTGCAGATTTTATTGTTTCCTTGGCAACTATACTGTCTACACTACTTGATGTCGTCATATCGTTTTTGTTATATTAATATCGTCCAACATAATGGTTTGATTACCCAAGTTTGATGTTCGCTTTATGGCAACAATAAGATATCCCATATGGTAATCTCAAACGAAATCAAGCATTCCGTTTCGAACTAGTGCTTACTCAGCTCTGATAGTAGACCTGGAAAACTGTATTTCATAGATCTAAGTGGTCGTGCACTCTAACGGATTGAACAACGTCGTAAATTATAGAAGTGAATTTATTCCGGAGAAGCAGGCAGTATGATCAGCATGTGCTCAAGAAACTGAAGAAGACAGGAAAGGACTTTACAAACATATCATTATTCTGCACAAATTGAATAAAGGACAGATGAAGGCACTACTAGCAATGGCGTAATGCTGCCTCAATAGTGCAACAAAAGGGAAACATTCATAACATCGGCAATGCATAACGCAACCTTTAGGCCAATACAACAAGACCGTTAGTTATCGAAAGCTAAAGTCAACGAAAGCTCTTTCGAGACCCAAGAAACATGCTTCATGTGCCCCATATGTCGTCAAATTCAGCAAGTAGTACATTGATTTTTGTTCCCTTCTCAGCTCAAACTAGGTCCAGCCAATGCGATAGACATTTTTGTCCTGGTTTTTTCATGACAGCCACAAAAACGCAGATTATAAGGGTTGCCGATTGTAGATATTGCGCGTTATAAAATAAATTTATTTGAAAACAACATAAGCAACAATAAAGAAAAGGCTGGAAAACCTTCGGGAGTGATGGAAGCGAGAAAACTAATCGATTTCGAGAATCCGCACAGTAGGTATATATATATATATATATATAT